AAAAAAAAAAAAAAAAAAAAAAAAAAAAAAAAAAAAAAAAAAAAAAAAAAAAAGAATTAGCTGACATAAGCAACACACAGGAAACCAGGGAAAAGCATCCAACGGCTTCCGTGCCTCCCGTCCAAGTCTCCCAGCCTCCAGTGCTCAGGCTATTTCATTGCAAGGCTACTCCCTGCTCCACACTGAGCTCCTCTCCCAGCCCCCACAGGGCTAAGGGCCTCAGATCTTCAACGTGGACTCAGGTCCCAGAACATTCCCCTCCTCTCACCCGGTTCCTCTACACACACAACAGGATCCCCCAACAGGGTTCCTGAAAATTCTTTTTCCTCAAGTACCTGTAGTGGGGTAGGGCAGCATTCAGGCCACTGGCAGAGATGGTTTGGAAACTGGGTCCAGAGGAGAACTCTTCTTCTCTGGAAAGTACAAGGCAAGAAAGGGTCAATGAATGGGTCCATGGACTAGGCTGGGCCCGGGATTCTAACCAGATCCAATGAAGGCCGCAGCTGCCTCTACCTCTCAACCGGACACCATTTGGCTCTCCCAGCCTTCACCTCCTGGTTCCCATCTCCCCAAACCCTGACCTGTTATTTATAGAGGAAGATCAGAGAAGGACACACTGTAACTGTAGACACCAATTATTTCCTCTCCACCTCCATTTTATGGATAGGAGTGAAGAAACCCAGCTCCCTGTATCTGGAAACTCCTCCAGCCCTGGAACAGCATCCTGTACCTCAAACCTACAATCTGGCCATGACCTGGGCCAAGCATGCCCTTGGGAATCCTCCTCCCTACCTGGTATTCTCAAGTGGTCCAGGGGCTGACCTGGCCTGAGCCACAGCCTCCCCCAGGGAGAGCCAGACTGTGCCTGAAGCAGACACTGGAGGACGCTATTGGGTTGTGGCCCTTCAAGTTGTCCTGCTTTCAGCAGGGCGGGAAATGTCATCCAACACTCACTGCTCAACTCCCTGACCACCCAAGAACCTGTCACTCCTTGTTCTACAGAGCTGCCCCCCACCCAGCCCACATACAAGGAGGATCTTCCTTAAGGGGACCAATTCCCCCTTCCTGCCCCCACTGCCACACTAAGAAATAGCCAGAAAGGATGGTCGTGGCTCTTCACCCTCGGAACTTGTCCACGAGCTCTGCCCCTGAGAATTCGTCCACCGTGCCTTTGGGCACGTTCTTCTCCAGCCAGACCAAGTACCGGATCACGGCCACAGCATCCCGCACCTGGAGTTGGGGAAGCAGGGAAGCAGGGAAGCTGGCTGAGGTCTGGTTGCAGCCACAGGCTCTGAGATGATGGAGATCAGATAGCTATTCCAGGATGTGGAGCTTTAAAAAACACTGGCTATTTGATGTCAAAGAATTCTTGTTAGTGTTTATAGATGATCATACCGTGTTCCTGTTTTTGAAAGAGTTCTGTGTTGACGGCTGAAATGACACGCGATCTGGGATTTACTTTTAGAAGAATCAGAAACAGAGAGGTGGGGTGGTAGTGGTAATGAACATGGGTTATAGACAAAGCAAGAATGGCCGTGAGTTAAGGATGTTGAAGCTGGGTGAAGGGACACTGGAGATTATGGTGACATTTTCTTTACTTTTGTGTATGTTTAAAATTTCCTATAAGACAGTTTTTTTTTAAATGAGGTGGTTTATCTTAATTTTAACAAGAATTTTTTTTAAAAAATTGAGCCATCCTCTTGCCAGTGTGAGGAAATCATTATAGCTAACACTTATTTAACACTTAGAATGTGCTAGGCAGTGCTCAGAGCAATATACATATTCACCGAATCCTAACAACAACTGTTTGCTGTAAGGTTACTGTTATGGTCCTCATTTGACAGATGGGGTAACTGAGGCTCAGAAAGGTAAAATGACTTGGCCAAGGTCACCCAGTTAGGAGTTGGGTGGAGCTGGGGTTTGAACTCAAGACACCCTAACTCCAGGGCCTACACTCTAAACCACTATACTATATTGGGAGCAAGGATATGAGCTGCATGTGGATGCCCAGGAATAATTTGGTGTCTGCTTCTTTATTTCTTTTTCTTTTTTCTTTTTTTTTTGAGACAGCGTCTCACAGTGGCCCAGGCTGGAGTGCAGTGGCGCAATCTCAGCTCAATACAACATCTACCTCCCAGGTTCAAGCGATTCTCGTACCTCAGCCTCCTGAGTAGCTGGGACTACAGGTGACCACCACCATACCCAGCTAAGTTTTGTATTTTTAGTAGAGATGGGGTTTCACCATGTTGGCCAGGCTGGTCTCAAACTCCTGAGCTCAAGTGATCCTCTCACCTTGACCTCCTAAAGTGCTAGGATTACAGGTGTGAACCCCCGCGCCAGGCCTGCTTCTTTGTTTCAGTGAGGATCTTCTTCAGGTTCTTTCCTTTCTAACTCATTAGGCTGGAAACTCCCAAAAGGCCACATCTGCCTGAATGTGAACTTACGTGGCTGGCCTTGAGGAGGGCCTGCTCCTTGCTGTTCTTCACCGCCTTGGTCATCATCACTGGGGAGTAGGTGTCTGTCACGAGTTTCTCCTGTTGGGGGCAGGGAGGAGAAAAGGAGGTGTGGGGTCACAGGTCTGGGGACACAGAAAAGGAGGTCTCCATGGCACAGGGGTGTTTTCAAATGACTGCCAGGAGGACTCAGCAGATGTGAGACTTGCCACTGTTTCGTGGCAATGCCCTCTCCTCTGTGTGCTTCCTGTCTTTTCTAGTCTTCCACATCCAGCTGAACCCGCTCTCCTTCCAGGAAGCCTTCCTTGATTAACACTGCCTTGCTTGGCAGTGAGCTCCCTGTCTTTGGATCCCACTAGTACTCTGGGATGGATCAGAGCGTGGCCTGAGTCAACTGATGGGCTGTTCTGACAGTGTAAGTTTCCTGTACATATCATGACAGCTACCATTCATTGAACACCTACCATGTGTCAGCCATGTACACTATCTCCTTTAAATCTCCAGTGAGCGACTCCTGTGAGGTTGGGACTCTTACTGTCATTTTACAAGTGAAGAAAAAGACCCAGATTGGCTAAGTTGCTTGTCCGATGTCACTGCACAGCTAGGTAGGGGCAGAGCTGGAATTCATTTTCAAGTTTGGCTCTGCTAGATCAGGCCGTATAGTCTCTAGCCTCCTGACAATTTTGTGAGCTCTCTGGACAGACCTCCCTGTTTTCTCTTCTGTCTCTTCCCAGTTAGGCCTAGAAGGGAACTCACTGCACAGTTCTTGGCTGACCAGGTGACTGAATGGCTGAGGGGATTCATCCCACTTTAGGTTAAGGCTTAACAGGCCTGGAGCGGGAATTGGTGCCTGGTTTGGGCTGGGGCCTGGCAAACCCACCTTGGGTATCACTTCATAGATCCCATACGTGGTATAGCTGGTCCCAATCCAGATCCTCACATCTCCTAAGGCGTAGGCCTGGATGCTGTCACGAACTTGGCTGTAATCCTCAATTTGCACACACATGGGGCCTGTGCAACTGGAGTTCAGATACGTCAAGGTTTCGGAGCTAAAGCGACTCTTGTTTGCAAACAACCTGGGTGGGGAGGCAAGACAGAGAGAGTCCTGAGCATCTGCTAAGGATGCAAAGCACCAGAGACAGACACAGTCCCTTTGTTCCTGGAGGTCAAAGGAAGCCAGACCCAGGGAGTCAATCAGACCAGATTTGGGATTCAACAGGGACAGAGGTTAAAGAGTCAGGAAAAGCCAACAGGAGGTTTTCTAAAGGTCATGCTGGGGCAGGCACCAAGCTGATGGGCAGCCAGAGGCTGTATATTAAGGCAGGATCAGTGGTGGGGCACCAAAAGGGTGGAAGTTGGAGAAAGTCCACGACAGCACGCTAAGGAAAAGCCATACCTGATAGAAGAGTCTGTGAGCAGCGCGTAGGAATAGAAGAAGGGGTTATAGGGGATGTCACTGGCTCGAAGGTTGAAGAGCCCTGGGAAGAGAATTCACAGAAACTATTTGATGCTGATCTGCCTGAGGCAAGCCTTTCTCTCTCTCTCTTTCTTCTTTCTCTCTTTCTTTCTTTCTCTCTCTCTCTTTCTTTCTTTCTTTCTTTCTTTCTTTCTTTCTTTTTCTTTCTTTCTTTCTTTTTCTTTCTTTTCTTTCTTTTTCTCTTTCTTCTTTCTTTCTATCTTCCTTCCTTCCTTCCTTCCTTCCTTCCTTCCTTCCTTCCTTCCTTCCTTCCTTTCTCTCTCTCTCTTTCTTTCTTTCTTTTCTTTCCTTTTTCTAGGACACAGTCTTGCTCTGTCGCCCAGGCTGGACTGCAGTAGCGCTCTCACTGCAACCTCCACCTCCCGAGTTCAAGTGATTCTCCTGCCTCAGCCTCCCGAGTAGCTGGGATTACAGGTACACACCACCATGCCCAGCTAATTTTTCTATTTTTAGTAGAGACGGGGTTTCAACATGTTGGTCAGGCTGGTCTTGAACTTCCAACCTCCGGTGATCCGCCCACCTCGGCCTTCCAAAGTGTTGGAATTATAGGCATGAGCCACCGTGCCCGGCCTGAGGCAAGCATTTCTGACACCTTTGCCCCACTGTTTCCTTTGGTCCCCCAAAGATTATCAGCAGCATGCCTGCATCATCTACCTCTGCATATTACTCAATCTTTTTGGGGGGGGGCTTTTGTTTTGGCGGGGCTCTTTGAGATGCTGTTAAGAGTTATGGATCTTTTCACCCCAGAAAAATGCAGACACTTAGCAGTTAGCACACAGGTCCAGTGGGCCCCTAGAATATCTGAAGCCCAGCCATAGGGATCAGACAAGAAGCCCTGAGCCATGTCGGGAAAGAGTAGGGTCCCAATGGGTGCTAAAACTGGGCATATGAGTGCTGTGGGGTAGCAGCTAAGTTGTTGGGAGGCATTGCTGGTCCTCCTCCCCTGAATGAGACGGAAGCACTTTGCTGCCGTGGCCAGTTCGTTCCTCCAGCTTACTCAGGGCTACTTCATGTCCTTTTTCTGCAGCCATGAGCTCCTGCCCCCTTACCCTTCTTGGTTCCCATGGGCTGTGACGATGGAGTTCTCAAGAACTGGTGGGCACATTCTTATTAGGGGAAGAGCAAGCTCTGTGCTGCAGGGCGCAGGAGGTCTGGGGTATTGGGGAGAACCCGGCGCCCACCCGTATCTGCAAATCCACACTCACAGGCCGTCTCCTCGAGGGCCGACAGAAGGACGGCAGTTGGGGCCTTCTGATGCTTCTGCATCTGGCTTCGGACGCCAGATACTTTCTCTTGCCAAGTGCTCCCTAGAAGCAAAGGAGCCCAAAGAAAGTGTAATTGACACACCTTGCCTTTGGCACTCAGTTCCTGAAAGGGCAGCCTTAGGGTCACAGTTTTCCACCCTTTTAAAAAGCAGTGGAACCCTTTCCCCAAACAAACTCTTACTCGTGTACTCATCAATGACATGGGCCTTGGACCCAGACTGGGCTCAAATCCTGGCTTTGCCATTATTGGATGGGTGACCATGGGCAAATTACTTAACCCCTCTGTGTCTCATTTTGCACATCTGTAAAATGGGGATGGAGTATAACAAGTATCTGCCTTAATAGGGTTGCTATGAGGATGGAATCAATTAATATTTGTAAAGCATACAGAAGGGTATCTTGATAGGTAGTAACTCTTGTATCCTTCTGATCAAAAAATAGGCATGCAGACTGAGACCAGGAGAGCAGTGCTAGTTGAAGGACAAATGGATAGGGCTGGGATCATGTTCAACCTTCTTCTCTGAAGCAACCCCAGTATTTACTAACCCACGGGTACTGGGCTAAGTACTCCATGAGCATTGTTCTAATTGTTACCCATCCCATTTCACAGATAAGGAAACTGAGGCTTCAGGGAGGTAAAGTGACTTGTCTAGGGTTTTACGGATGCAAGAGGTGGAGCTGGGATTTGAATGCTGGCCTGTCTGACTGCCAGGCCCACACTCTTTTTTTTTTTTTTTTTTTTTTTTTTTTTTTTTGAGACGGAGTCTTGCTCTGTCGCCCACGCTGGAGTGCAGTGGCGCAATCTCGGCTCATTGCAACCCCAACCTCTCAGGTTCAAGCAATTTTCCTGCCTCAGCCTCCTGAGTAGCTAGGATTACAGGCACGTGCCATCACACCCGGGTTTCACCATGTTGGCCAGGATGGTCTCGATCTTTTGACCTCATGATCCACCCGCCTAGGCCTCTCAAAGTGCTGGGATTACAGGCGTGAGCCACCGCGCCCAGTGGCCCACACTCTTAATCTGTATAGGCACTGTACTGTCTTATTAACATCATCAGTCTCCAAATCTGTCCTTAAACTCTGTGTCACAGCAGCACCATCCTTTCTAGGATGCTTATATCCAGGTTCTATGACTTTAGTTTTCATCTTCTATCTTTGACCCCTGCAAGATATTCAAAAAGTCTACCCCTAGGCAGGACTAGGAGTTTGATGGCCGGCAGTCATAACCATTAAGGGTCCTAGCTGGGTTCAGCTATGAGTATAAATAACTTAATGTCGTGAAAAATACTTCATGTAAACAGGTAAAACTATTCAACAAGGGCCAAAACTTTGGGTACAATACATTTTGTAGGTTTATTTTACTACATATTTTACCATAATTTATGTTATCTGTAAAATACACATGAAATGTATCATTTTAACCTTTTGAAAGTGCACAAGTCAGTGGTTTTCAGCACACTCACAATGTTGTGCAACCATCGCCATGCTCTAATTCTACCACATTTTCATCATCCCCAAAAGAAACCCTGCACTCACTACGGAGTCACTCCCCATCCCCCTCCCCCAAGCCCAGGAAACCACTAATCTATGTTCTATCTCTATGGATTTGCCAATGCTGGATACTTCATACAAATGGAATTGTACAATATGTGGCCTTCTCTGACTGGCTTCTTTCACTTGCAATTATGTTTTTCAGGTTCAGGAATATGATACCTTTCTGAGAAACCAAATGAACCCAAATTTCAACAGTCTGATGCGTACAGGTATCTTTGAGTAGCGAACTTTTCATGTTCTGCCCTTTGCACTCTCCTCTGTCCTTTAAAACCTGCAAGTGGCTGGAAAGTCTCGTTTCTATGAGCTTATTGAACCTGAACTCTGTTCTTTGGCTTCCAAGCTCAAGCTCCAGATGCCTTTTTCTTTTTCTTTTTTTAAAATTTGAAACGTAGGCTTGCTCTGTCCCCAGGCTGGAGTGCAGTGGTGCAATCTTGGCTCACTGCAACCTCCGCCTCCTGGGTTCAAGCGATTCTTCCGCCTCAGCCTCCCGAGTAGCTGGGACCACAGGCACATGCCACCATGCCCAGCTAATATTTTGTATTTTTAGTAGAGACGGGGTTTCACCATGTTGGCCAGGATGGTCTCCATCTCTTGACCTCGTGATCCGCCCGCCTCGGCCTCCCAAAGTGCTGGCATTACAGGCGTGAGCCACCGCACCCGGCCTCTAGATGCCTTTTTCTTGAAGACTGGCAGCATGCAATGACTCGGCATCCCCTCATTTTTGGGAAGTGACAAAACCCTTCCAAATTCTCTTCCAGCCCCAGGAAGGTTTTTCTCTTTTTTTTCCCCCTCCTCTTCCCGACATAACTTTGACTTTTTTTATTCTGAATAAGATGAGCTTTATTTATGATTTAACAGTCTTGGATAGCAAGTTTCTTTAAAAATGGCATCAAGATGCAGAAAGAATGATTCTGCAAGTTATATCAGAACAGATAAAGAAAATGGGACACAATTTTCACTTATTTCATCATCACTGCTATTTTGAAATCTCCCTGCTGCTTTTTTGGCTCCTTTCTAAATGAGAAATTGTGTGGACTTGCATGTGGAAAGGGATCTCTTAGCCTGATCAGTGTTACTAAGAATCCAAGTTCATTGCCTTATTCAGAATTCCCAGGGAAATAGCAGTGGTTGGTGGCCAAGATACTGATTCATAATCAGTAACCTGGTCCTCGTCCGGACTTTATTTACGACTTACAGGAATCTTACAGCATACTGTTCTTTTGTGATGTATTTAGATAGTGTCAACGGGGTCAAGGTTATTGATGTTATATTTTTCTAACTTCCCTGATTGGTCCAGCAAAAGCTGAACTGTAATCTGTGCTACAGAATTATTCTGAACTTAGTTGTTTACTTCTTCTGCCCACTCCTGCCCACCTGACCCCAGCCATCTCAGAAATCTAAATTCTTCATCACAAGAGGGTCAGAATTAAAGATCTGAACGATTCAATATGGACCAGTCTCCACCACCAGACAAGCAACTCATATCATGTTTTTTTCTCTCTTGAAAAGGGTTGGATGTTGTCTCTCATCTTTCTCTGACTCCCTTCTTTCCTCCGTTCCTGGTTTATCTTGCTTCAAATTCTAATATTCTTTAATCCAGCATTTTCTCAATATGGACTGAGGACCTTTTGATTCAGACTCCTCAAGGGGAGGGGGCCTGAAATCTGCATTTTATTTATTTATTTTTTGATACAGAGTCTTGCTCTGTCACTCAGGCTGAAATGAAGCAGTGTAGTCTCGGCTCACTGCAACCTCTGCCTCCCCAGGTTCAAGTGTTTCTCTGTGTTAGCCTCCTGAGTAACTGGGATTACAGGCCTGTGGCACCACGCCTAGCTAATTTTTGTATTTTTAGTAGAGATGGGGTTTCACCATGTTGGCCAGGTTGGTCTTGAACTCCCGACCTGGTGATTCACCAGCCTCAGCCTCTCAAAGTGCTGGGATTACAGGTGTGAGCCAATGGCACCCAGCCTGAAATCTGCATTTTAAACAAGCACCCCAGGTGACTCAGGTGCATGCTAACGTTTGCAAACCATTGCTTTGGTACCTCTGAAGATGAAGTTTGCCATGGTAGCTGAGACCCATGTTGCTACAAGTTGGGAAGGAAACTGGGCTTACTGAATTACCTGTGAATGCCTCCTGCAGGGCATAAATGGGTTGGTTTGGAACCGGTGGCCTCTCTGATCCCCACACCAGGTCCACAAGGTTGGTTATGATGGACACCAGATGTCTGTTAGAGCCTTGGAGGGCCAGATCATAACTCTCCCAGGTGTCTGCAGAGACAAGAAGGAGTCACTTGTCCCTTGCCCATTTACGCCTCAGGAAAAAATTGTGATTCAAGCAAAGTTAGTCCTGGTTCCATTTGCCTCCCTTTATAGCCCAACTTCCCCAAGCCTGCCCCAGAAGCCTGCCCATCGCCCCCCACCAGAATGTGTGCCCACACTGGGATATGTTTCTCATCCTCTTTCTGCTTTCCAAGCCTAATGCCCTGAGCCCACTCTAACATTGCCCGTCACAAATTGGCTAAGCTTGTCTTTTTCTCTGCCAGTGGCTGTGGGTGGTCCTTCTTTTGGGCACTAATTATTTTATCTGGGCTTCAGTGTCACAGTCCAAAGGAATGGTGACGGTCAGGCTGTTGTACAGGCTGGCAAAGAAGCCAGGTCTAAAGCACAAGCCTTTCAGTACATATTCATGAGGACACCTCTTTGGGGAAATGGGTTGGCCAGCTGTCTGGGGCTCCAGAACTCAGGGAATTGTATTCTCAGTGGTCTTTTTTTTTTTTTTAAACTCAGAGGACCTCCCAAATCTTTGACTCTTCTAAGCTACCTTCCAGAAGAGGGTTACCAACTGATTCCAGCACCATCATTGGTAGAGTTCCAGGGCATAGAGGGTGGTTCTGGGTTCAAGCACATCCTGGCCTATTAATTCACTAGATCTTTAATGATTCACTGAATCTTCTAGTTTGGGTCTCTGCACTCATGAATTTTAAAATATTTGTACTCATTCTTTAAATGTATTCTAATTACACAATCCACCAGTACATCCTCATTGTAAAACATCATTGTAAAACATTCTGCAACTGCCATTTTAAATGCTCTATCTTTATAGTCCCACCGCCCCTCCTTCTACCAAGGTCCATTTCTTTATATCTCAGGGAAGCTGAGCCACCCTTGTTGGCATGGACAAATTCAGGGACTGAGGGAAGAGCATACCAATGGATAAGAGGAAGGGGTCAAAACCCACACGCCCTCCAGCGGGGATCTCGGTGAGGAGCCAGGTGACAATAGGAGTGGTGCCAACTGAAAGAAAGATAGGAAGGAACACAGAGGTCACCTCCAGGGCCAGCTCCAGGCCCTCCAGTCAGGGGTTCTGTCTGATCATCCTGCCATGTGTGTCTTCCTTGAGATCAGTGTTGAAGGTCAGGGATGGCCTCAAATTTCCTAAGCTGCCCATAGGGGCCCAGCATGGTCTTACATGCACGCTCTCACCTATACCTTCCTGAACCTAGTCCAGGTCCCAAGACTTGGGGGTCAAATCCATGTAGCCCTTCTACCTTCCTTATGGAGCTCCCAGTTACAGTCCATCTGCCGCTCAGCCTGAGTCCAGTAGCGACTGTCGGTCCATACGGCTGCTTTCTTCATGGTCACCACTGCTGTTCCTGGGGCAGAACAGAGAAACTTGCAGGTGAGGGTGAAGGAGTGGAACGTGGCATTAGGCGACGGATGTACAATGCAGTGCTGGCTCTGAGAACACCACCAGGGGCCTCTGGAAAGAGGTTCTGTCCTCCATTGGAAGGAAGCAAGGAAGGAGATGTTAAAGAGAGATATGAGCGGAGCTGCCAGAAACGTATCCTGAATCAGGCACCTCTGCTTTGTGTTGAGAGCTGTTTGTGGGGGTCATTAGGACTTTCAGCAGAAGGAATAACGTCAACTTTTGGCTGCATGTATGCGCTCTCAAGAAAGATGGGGCTCAGTGTCAAGACTCGGTGGCTGATAGGGATGCTAAGCCAGAGACTCAGCTGTGGACTGGTGCGGAAGACTAATCCAGAGACTTTGGCAAAGAGAAAAAGAATCAATGGTGCATGAGACAGGGCAGCTTGAAGCCGAAGGAGGAATGTTTGAGGATCAGGAAAGGAAGCTTGGATTTGATTGAAGGGAGCAGGATCAGGGTGCGAAGCCCCTTCAGAAACTATGACTTCATCAAGGGCTTCGATATTTGTGTCTCATTTGGCCATGTGAAGTGATGTTGTCTGTAAAAGGACTGGCAGAGGAAAACTTTGTCCCCAAATGAGCCCTCATGTGAAGGGAATCAGCAGGTTCTTAGTGGTCAGAGGTAGAAGTAGCAAGTATTCAGAAATGGAGCCCGGGAGTGCTGGACTGGGTGTGGCTAGAGCAGAGGTAATGAGCATGGGAAGGCAGCTGGGGAATGGGGCCTCATGTGCCTCATTTCTACACAGAAACTGGCTGGTGGGCTATGAGATATATGCCCTGGGGAGCCTGATGGTTTTGGGGTGGTGGAGGGAGACAGAGAGAGTAGAAGGGTTTTCTCTACAGTAGGTTCTGGGGTCCTAGCTGCTGTGACTCTAACCATACTAGGTCCTCTGTGACCACCTCTGGATCTACCAACAAAAGCAATAGGGCTGGGTAGTGACTGTTACCTGCAGACCCTGTAAAGCCTGTAATCCACGCACGCCTCTCATCACGTTGGCTGATGTACTCATTCTAAGAAATCAACAACATCATCATTAGCCTTTCTCGTGGAGTCAGATCCCACATGAAAGGCCCCCAGCCACATCCCAGTTCTTTCTGTCTGTCAGCTCCAACCAGTCCTATGAGCACAAGCACACCTGGCGCCTCTTCCAGGAAGCCCTCTGTAACTCTCCTTCAATATCTTCCCTTCCTTTGAACAACTGTATCTTTTGCGGTCCAAACCCCACTGTCCACACTGGACTATTGTGCAAAGGAGCCTTGCTGTCCTGCTCTGCAAATTCTATGCACTCTAGGGTCCCGTCTTTTGGTTCGTTTGGTAGCTGGTCCCCTCCAGCTACCCCTTCTCCCTCCTGAGTCTAGCAAAGTAGACTGGGAACATCATAACTTCTGTGAAGGGTTTACACATTATCGTATTTTGATCCTCATAATCCTTGGAGCCAGATCTCATTACTCCCGTTTTGAAGAGGAGAAAACTGAGGCTCAGGGAAGTTCAGCTACTTGCCCAATGTTCTTAGCCCTTCCCAGCATGTGGGAAAACTAATTCAAACAATCTCATCGACACTGAAAACGCCCTCTCTTCCAATGGGGCTGGTGTTGGAAAGGTGGACGGGGTGGAGGGTGGAGCAAGTGGTGGGAAACGGTGGGGTGGATGCCCTCTTCCCCAACCAACGCCATACTCCCATAACCCAGGATTTTGGATCATTTTGCTACTCCATTCCACAGAGTACGGGAAGGGAGCTTGGAGTTCTTCCAGTCCAATTTCCAGCCCACCTTCTAACCTCATAGGGCAGGGATACCCTAAACATTCATTCCGGATCTGCCTTCTAGGAATTGATGAAAATTGATTCTGAAGTTGTCGATAGTTTGATTTCTTGAGGTCAAGGCGGTTCGGCAATGTCTGCCTGCCTGTATAGAGGGATACATTCAGTTGCCCTAACACTACCGTGCCCATGCTCTCCACTTCCCTCCCTTTGCCTGTCAGATCCTTTCTCTGCCCTCATCTTCAGAGCTTTAACAGCTCCTGTTTATGGTCTCTGACTCAAGGCAGCAGAGAGGGCACAGGGGAGAGAAGCTGCCCCTTACCATGTGAGCATCCGTGTCTGGGATGATGTAGGCGGAGAGATTCTGGATCTGCATCTGCTGGCGGAGAGCTGCGAGGGACACTGTGGTGTTGACCACGGTAACTGGAAGGTACTGACAGATGACAGGAAGACACCGAGACACACACAAACAAATATGCACGTTGCTTAGAGAAAATGACACCTGGGTCCCTGGCCTCCAGAAGAGCCCCCAGCCTCCCCTAAAGCAGGGGTTGGGGGAAGTTAGGCTGCCCTGGCTTGGGAAGGGATGGGGCAGCAATTGATGTTACTGCTTAATGTAGCTCAAGATTGCCTGGGTTGAGTGGAGATGGAGGTGTTGAAGAGTTTGGAAAGGGACCCCTTGTGACAGTAATGGGACCTGAGTCTGGGAGGAGGGTGTGGGTGAGAACTGCAGGGGTCTGAGCTCTGGCACTGGGCCAGGCCATGCAGACGCTCCTTCTTTGGCTACCTGGGGGTAGGGTTGCCAGATTAACAAATAAAAATACAGGACACTCACCTGGTTATGTTTGCATTTCAAATAAAAAGTATATAATATTTTAATGTAAGTATTATATTAAAACATGCACAATTTGAGGCGTACTTGTACTAAGTTCTTACTTGTTATCTAAAATTCAAATGTAACTGGGTGTCCTGTATTTTATGGCAACCTTACCTTCAGGGGGCTGTTTCAGGTTGCCACCCACTGGTCCCAAATGGCAGAGGAGAGTGGATGAATGCCCCCAGCAGTTTGAGATAGTGCCCAGAAAGACCCTCTCTAGACCAGCTATTTCTTTAAAGGGTGTTTTATCTTTAAAACCAAAAGCATGATTTTGTTTGTGCTGTTTTGCCGTTTTGCTTTCTACTCCATGGTATCCATGTTTGTTTTAATATAAAAGTAATGTGGTTCGCCCACCCACCTGCCTGCCCCAGGGGTCCCATAAAGTTGATATTGGTAGCAGATGCACTGCAATTTTTCCCATGGCTTACGGTGCTGCAGGCAGGCCTACCCCTTAGCCCTACTCTGAATGTAGAAAGAATCACTCTGGTCTCCAGCTAGGAAGCTGACTTCCCAAGCCCCTTCTGCAGGGCCTTCTCGTCTTCACACCCTAGGCCTCCCTCTCCTGCCCTTCAATTGGCTCTTCTTTGGTTTTTGTTTTGTTTTGTTTTGTTTTGTTTTTGAAACGGAGTCTTGCTCTGTCACTCAGACTGGAGTGCAGCGGTACGATCTTGGCTCACTGCAACCTCTGTTTCCTAGATTCAAGCGATTCTTCTGCCTCAACCTCCAGAGTAGCTGGGATTACAGGCATGTACCACCAGACCCGGCTAATTTTTGTATTTTTAGTAGAGACGGGGTTTCACCATGTTGCCCAGGCTGGTCTCGAACTCCTGATCTCAGGTGATCCATCCTACTCTGCTTTCCGAAGTGCTGGGATTGTAGGCCTCAACCACCAACCACCAAGCCCGGCCTCTGCTGGCTCTTCTAACCCCTATCTTCCTCCCTCTTCCCTTCTGTGCTTCTCTTTTTGCTGTTACTCTAGAATTTGTCTTTTCTTTCCTCCCTTCTTCCTCGCCTCTGCCTGGTCCCAGCCAAAGGCCAGCTAGGGGCCTCCTGCCCTCCTCCCTCCTCCTAGTGGGGCTTCCCAGGCTCACAACAGGGTAGAAACAGATAACTTGCTGTGAGAATGAGTTGGAGGGAGAGGAGGGTACCCAGAGAGTGGAGTGGGGAGGAGCCTCAGAGTCGGAAAGGGGGGGCTACCAGCTGAGCCAGTAGGGGATGGAGAAGATGATAGGGCAGGGCAGGGGTGCCAGCGGTGCA